AGACACAGGACAGTGGCGTAGCGCTAGCGCGCAGGGGGGCTGGGGTTTTCCCCACACCCTCCAAACGCCGTGCAAGCAAGCAAGCAAGAGAGAGAGAGAGAGAGAGACGGACACGTAAACATATCCGAGCCCGCTTGAGGGTGGCGCGGCGGCCTTGTCGGGCCATGTTTTGTGAAGTCGAGCAGCAAGATAAATACGCAGTAATAACAACAACAACAACGACGAATCAAGCAGGCCCCTTTCCTTCCTCCTTCAGGGATCCCAGTGCTATCCTGGACTCATCCACACTGAAATTACTCTGGCTCTGCTCTTGCATCAGCGGATGCTGTCGTCTTCCTTCCAAAAGCCCGCGCAGCGTCCAGCCGAGGATCCCCAGGCTGCCTTGCAGCCGCTATTGGCCTCGAGAGTCTTGGACAGGCTCTGGGCCTTGGCCTTGCTTTTTTCGTCCTCCGCATCCATGGGAACCCACAGCCAAGCGCCATGGAGTTTCCACTGGAGCGCAGCAAAAAGCGCAGCCGCAGAGGCCAGCGCGCTCTTCAGCGAGGCATGCGAGGCCACAGGCCGGTCAGGCGAGGAAAAGGGGACGCACAGAGCGCAGGGCCGCGCAGGGCCGCGGTGCTCGGTTTCGCAGGCTCCAGCAGCCCCGCACACGTCCTTCGCGGCCTGGGCCTCTCCAGCGGCCGCGTTGGTGGCAGCTGGCAAAGTCATCTCAGCACGCCGTGGAGTGGTCAAGCGACGAGCGACGGACTGGGGCATTGTGACTCTTGCGGATCACGCGTGCGTCTCCTTTGCTTCATGCCGGCTGCACAGGACAAGGCGGATCAAAAGTCGGGACGTCAGATCTGCATTGGGCATGAGGCAGGGTCCGGAGAATATGTCTCCTGTTGTCACTCAGTGTTCTGCATTGGATCTGGTTTGGATTCAGGCGGCACGGATTGAAATAGAGCTGTTGCCTCAGGTGACTTTGAAAAAGAGTCTCACTCAGGGATCATCAAGCTCGATGGCAGCTCGGCTGCCTTGGCATGGCCAGGTAATGTATTGCTTGTGGTCAGGTGCAAGTTTGCAGCTTTATCCATGTGTCGAGCGACTGGATGCACATGTCGTGCGTGTGCTAGGAGCTGCTGGGTCAGGAAACCAGATGGCACAGTGGTGGGGAGTGGTAGTGTTAGTTAGAGCTGCAATCGGCAGCCGAGGATGCGTTCATGCGCGAGAACGCAGCAGAGGCTGTATTGTGGTCGTGGAATCATGAGATTTTGAGTTGGTACCCGGTGAGGTGAGCCTGCAGAATCTTGAGAAGATTGTGCCGAAGCCCGGCCAGCCGGAGATTTTGCAGTGCTTCATGAAGCAGGAAGCTCAGACTTAGGCCGTAGGCTTTCAAAACAGGAGCGAAGCTCGAATAGGTGGCCAGCAAGCTTCACTTGCATGAGGCCAAATGACATCGGCCCCTATCGCTCGCAGCTCATGATGGAGGCGGCGAGAGGGCCGTCTGGCTGAGTTTTCCTTGCAAGGCCCAGGCTCCCCTTGTTCGCTTCCTTCCAGGTCAAGGTGGAGGTTGCTGAGGCCGGTGGAAAGTGCAATGTGCACATTCTGGATATGCACCCAGGCCTGGCTAGGTTTGAAACACAAGAGAGATCTTTTGCATCTCCACCGGGAGTGGAAGACGGAGGCAGCTTTTGGGACAATGCTCCAGGCAATGTGGACAAGAAGACCGGCGAGGTCACCTTCGATCCCCAATACAAGGCTTGATCATGCCGGCCTCTGTAATTTTGGGTTAAGGCTTAGTGTCTGTTGGCAGATGGACATGGAGTCCGAGAACATCATCGAGTGGGTGGAGAACAGTGAAGGAGGCACAGAAGCGGCCGTTGCCTTTCAGAAGCGTCTCTCCGGGAGTTCTCCAGAGGTCTGGACCTGACGAACCACGCCTGGCTCACATCTCAGAGGAGATTTGATTCTTCTTGTTCAGGTGGTGGCTTTGAAGTCCCAACTTGAGGTCCCGGTCGCGGATGAACCTCCCCTGGTGGTTCCCGCTGCCAGATGCCTTCGTCGAGAAGGCGGCCAAGCTGATGACAGGCAAGGTGGCCTCTCGGCCGCAGCCGAGGGGAGTCGGAGACCGGACGGAGAGCGGAGCTCTGAGGTCCGAGACGGCATGGCCAAGGTGAATGAGCAGATCGAAAGCAAGTTCAGCGCGTGGCTGGCCTTCCGGCACCATAGTTTGCAGGAGAAGATATACATTCGGACCTTTCGTCCTGTCAGGTAAATGAGAAGGTAGACGCCTGAGGCGTGAGCGCCCAAGTGAACGGTCGTCTCACCCTCGAGGCCTCACCGCCTCACCGCCTCACCTCACGCGTTGACATGACCCTGATTTGATCTCATGCAGCCTATTCAACCTACGTATTCATCGAAAGACTCGGAAGTGCCCAACATGCAGCTCTTGCGAAGTATCTGGACATGTTTCGCACAGGCAGGATGTCAAGCAATCAGTTTTCCCAAGTTTTCATGGTTGACTTGGCTTCTTGACCAGTCGGCAAACGGCCGAGCAGAAAGCGCAGCCAGCACCCAATTTCCGATAGCTGTATGGGGGCATCGGAAGTCTTCCCATCGATTTCCCGGGTGCCTGACAACCGAAGCAAGTCGTCGAGGCTGTGCCGTCATGGCAGCATCCAGCTGCCTTTTGAATTCTTAGCTACAAACCCTTTATGTGGCTGGGTCGGGACAACGCGCTCCGGGACAGCTTGAAGTCCTGAGTCCGTCGTCCTTTGGGCCTTGCAGTGCGGTGAGCACGGAAGGAGCAACAGGGACGTGGAGTGCGCTGCCAGTCTTCTTGCCACATGGACGCTGCCTTCCCTCCTTTGCGATCTTGGAAAGGCCACTGTCTCCACAATGGAGCCGGGTACGTCCTCATACAGCGCCTCTTCGTGCTGCGGACGTATTTTGTGTTTCGCCGTAGCGTGTGTGTCTGACATGATTCCTGCCAGGGCCTGGCCGACAGGCGACCTGGACGAGTCCTTCAGCGAACTGCAGCTGCGAGTGCAGCTCCAACCTCAGGGCCTTGCTGTGCATTTCTCTGCAGTTGAAAGGCTGGTGTTTCTGGGAGGCCCGGTGGTGCCCTGGCATCCCCGGAGAGCTCCACACCGCCCCGCACGCTGCCCGGAGAGGCTCTGAGCTTGGAAGAGACCCCAAGGACGGGGGGGGCCTGTCACCCGCTTTTTCGCAGAGCTGTTAACTTAAATAAAAGATGGCTTTCAGGACCTCGGGGCTGATCTCCTTCGCGCCATCCCCCCAGCTGGATCCTCGGTTTGGCGTGGATCTGGCCCTTGCGGTGTCGGAGTGTCCTGCCTTGTGGCCCTCTCCGAGGGTGGAGATGTCAGGACCGAGAAGAGTACGCTTTGTCTCGTCGGTGTGCACAGTTGCTTACGTTGAGGGACTGACCTTGCACGAGCAATCGTTGGCGGTGATGGTTCAGTTTGCTTTGGAACTGAGTGGAGGATGAGATCGCTTGACACAGGACTTGAAGCGCTGCAGGAGCAAGAGGTGGGCCCAAGCTGCAAGTGCAAGTCTGGTTTCTACTTATGGGTCCCAGTATCGAGCTGGTGGTTGCATGCTTGCATTGCCACACACATCGCGTACACTTGCTCAAGCTTCGTCACCTTATTCGAGCCCTGTGTGGGTCTTCCGCCATATCCGACAACGGACCTTTGCTGAGGGACTTCGTTTCGAAGCTGCATTTCGGTTTCCGGCCAAAGTAGCCTTTGCAAACATGATGTGATGCAATCCCGGTCTTCTGCTGCCAAGGTGTCTAGGACCTACCACGACCGACTGTCCCAAGACCATGATGCCGATGTTGAACCCGATGCTTCTGGTGCTGGTATGGACAGGAAGCAGCCTGGCTTCAACGATGCTCAATTCCTGATCTGCCTTTCGAATGCCCCATCACCAGCGCAGGCTGCGCGAGTTCCGAAATTTCGGCGACATCGAAAACTACTGCGCTCATACAGACAGGAGAGTTGCAGACCCTATCATATCCTCAGAAATTCGGAAGGACATTCTCTTGTCTTGGAAGCCTTTCGTCGGTCTTGGCAGGACATGTCGTGCCGATGCACACTAAGTTTGTAGACAGCGGCCACTTTGAAGGCTGGGTGGTGTGGCTGCTGTTCTGAGGTTGATATAGGCGAGAAGCGATGGGTGCTTGAGGCGAAGAGCTGGAATCCCTTCTCTTGACTGAGACAGGCGTGGGAGAAGTTTCCTTGCCCCTTTGGAAAAGCCTCAAAGACGATGGCTCAGGCACAGGGCCCGATGGAGAAGTGGAGCAATGCTCGCAGGCGCGCGACTCTGATTTGGGATGTCAAGAAATGCTAAGCTGCTAAGCCATGGATCAGACTGTTTTGGGAATCTGCAGTGCGGCCTGGGAGGACTGTGAATTGACTTTTGAGGGCGAGACGATTGCCGTGCCTCGACCCAGATTTCTTTTGGAATGCATGAACCAATATGGTGTGCCAGCGCCTTTTACTGCGGAGTTGGAGACTCGAAGCACTTATGCAGGATGCCGGAGAGAAGAGCGTGCCCTGTGAACTCCGCAACCTCGTGCTGTCCTCGGTTTGCGTGACGTCTGCCGTGGGGTTTAGCGGGACTTTAGGCTTTAGGGAAAGTCTAAGTGAGGTGGAAACATTCTTGGATGTCCCCGCTCTGGTTGTGGCGTTCCTCGCCGCCTTCCTTGCTTCCGTGCAGCTTCGCTCGATGAGGTCGGAGGACAAGGCTGGAGGTGTCGTAGCACTCAAGTGTGGCGGGGGGTGGTCGCTTAGCTTAGCTGACCACATCCTGGCACCAACGAAGCAGCGAAGGAATTCCTGGCTGTGGCCTGGGTCGCAGATGTTCTCTCCTGCGAGGCTCCGACCTCGGTTCCGGAAGCGGCTTCGGCTTCGGACCTGATCGTGGACGAATTCGGCTGCACCGCACTACACCGAGCTGCCGACGAGGGCAGCGTGACAGAGGTGGGTTCCTCTAGTCCTATGGTAGGCAAAGCCCCCACCCTTCCCAGCCCCCCCTTAGGTGGAGAGGCTCCTGAAGGGTGGCCTCGACGTCGAGGCTAAGGAGGCTGGGGGCGGAGCTGCCGTGTAAAGTGCTCAGCCTGGCCCTGAAGCCTCTATGAAGGCCTGGGAGGAGACCCCGCTCCACATTGCTGCCCGTAAAGGCCAGCCCTCCCTCCATGCTCACAAGCCCAGAGGCTGCTGTCGCAGACGGGCACTTTAACTTTAAGCATGGACCGAGTTGGCTTCTGATTCTACACAGCCCCGCGCCCCAGCGCTTCCGGCATTCCCAGGCCATGCAGACTGTGTCGCGCGCTTTCTGGCAGCTGGTGCCAACTCCGAGGCAGATCAAAGATGCCCAAGTAGTCTATCGGCATCACTGCTGTCATCTGCTGTCATCGCCATGATTCTGACTGTCAGCATTTACACCGTCGCTTCCATCGTCCTGCATTTTCGCCTGTCTCGAATGCCAGTGGGATAAACTTAGGAGACCTGGACCTGTTCTGGTACTCAGACGTGCCAAGCAGGATATCAGGAATTACAATGTGTTGTAGTTTGCTGTTCAAGGACCGGGCATTTCAAAATTCCGGTCCTACAACAGCAAACTACAACACATTGTCATTGTAATTCCTGATATCCTGCTTGGCAAGTCAAAGGGGCGAAATGCTGGCCATCATTGAGTTAGGGACCCCCTTGCCTATTT